TGATAGAGGTCAGATACATTCTGAAAACTAGTACTGTCTTCACCCTAAAATAACGCCTGTCCTTTGGGACATCCGTTAAAATTGGAACGATACAGAGAAGATTAGCATGGCCCCTGCGCAAGGATGACACGCATAAATCGAGAAATGTCTGAAATGGTCCAAAAAAAAAAAAAAAAAAAAAAAACGCCTGGGTGTTGTACACAAATATAATGCCTGTTATATGCGGTTATAATGCCGGGGCGTTATATTCAGTAAATTGGTTGCAACTTCGGTGGGGCTCCAAAAAAAAATAAAAAATAAAAATCCAAAAAAGAAGTAAAAAAAATATGTTGTCTGGAACTGCAGTGCAACCAACTTTGACTGAGGGTCACTTCAGAATTCCTCATAATTCGGAAACAAAAAATCAAAACAAAAAATCAAACTGAAAGATACCCCTTGGAAGTCAAGAACCCTTTCAACCCCCTTAAAAACCCATGTATACCACCTTCCCCCCCTGTTAAAGCCCATGTATACTCCCTCTACAAGGCACTCTGCCCATGGAACATCCAAATACAACGCTCGGGTGTTCTATTCGAATATAACGTCCAGGCCTTATACTCGAAGGGGCGTTCTATTCGGAAAAAAACTGAGTAAATTTCAGTAAAAAACAAAATTCTGATATTTTTAGGGTAAGTTGAATATAACGCCTGGGTGTTATTTTCCGGAAGACGGTAGTGTGAGTAACAGTTATCCACGTTTTCTCCTAAATCTTCCTGAACTTTTTTCATTAAAAAAAAAAGGAAAAAGTGTGAGTAGGCCCTCCGTGAGGGCATTTCCTGAGAATGTGGAATACGCCCTGCCTTGCTTGCAGGGCACTAAGAAAGAAAGGGAAAAAAAAAAAAAAAAAGATATGGCCGTAATAGTGGTCAGATATAGGGCCTCGCCACACCACTCCCAAATCCTGAGAAAAATCCGGAGTGCTCCCGAGTCTTGGAAGTAGCGAAATCTGGTTCGAGAGTGTGCTTCGCCACACTTCGCTCTCAAAACAGGCGCTCTCGACATCTGAGCTTGAGAGTGGGCACATGCCAGTGGATATCGAGGATGAATTGTTGCTTGTCCTATGTGCGTCTCAGTCTTCGGGAGAGTTCGGGCTTCGGTAGTGGAACTTGACAGCTCCCGAAACTGCCCTCTTGCAGACGGGAGGTTTCGGGAGCCCCGAAGCTCGAGCCCACCATCCGATCTCCGAAAACTCGAGGTCTCCCGAAACTGCCCTCTTTCAAACGGGAGGTTTCGGGAGCCCTGAAGCTTGAGCCCGCCATCCGAGCTCCCGAAACTCGAGGCCTCCTGAAATTACACTCTTGCAGACGGGAGGTTTTGGAAGCATTCAGGAGTGCTCTGGAGTAGTGGAACCTGACAGCTTCCTAGTTCAATCCGACATGTCGAATTTGGGAGCTGGTGTGGCGAAGTTGAACTCCGGAAACTTGATGATTCGGGAGTGGAGTGGCGAGGGCTATATTCTCGAGAGTACTAGTGTGAGTATGCCCTCAGTGAGGGCCTGCCCCGACATCGGTTATCTCGATATAGCTGTTCTTTTTTATTTTTCCACTTCTCTTTCTTGTGCCATCCGCTGGCACGACATACCAGCACTTCAGTTTCAAGGCAGGCTGGTACCACTGCCTCCCTCAAAGAAAACAACGACATGCACTGTAGATTGAAGGCTTGGCAGAAAGCGTTTTTTGATTCATCAATTTAGGGTGCGATGGGCTGTTGGTTTGGTTTAAAGGACAAAAGTGTCAGGGCTAGTTTTTTTCCGGGCATTGAACCCGACGTGAATCGAACACGCAACCTTCTGATCTGGAGTCAGACGCGCTACCATTGCGCCACGGATCCCTGACTATACTGAATGTACCAGGGTAGCTACTTCCCTAAATTGAAAAGACATGAAAATGATTCGAACTCTGTACCACAGGGAGTTTAAGTCCCTTAATGCACAAAAAGGTCAGGGAGAGCATTTTCCGGGTATTGAACCCGACGTGAATCGAACACGCAACCTTCTGATCTGGAGTCAGACGCGCTACCATTGCGCCACGGATCCCTGACAAGATGGAAGCATCATCAGGGTTACATATTTCTAGGACTGTCTCAATCAGTGTGAATCGCGTGCCCTCCTGTGCAAGGGAGACGAGTCCTTCAAATGGAAAAGTCTTTATTGAGATTGAAGTTCATTGAACCAACATGGGGGTCATACTTCTCTCGCGATTGAACCAACATGAATCGCATGCCTTCCTTGAGTATCAGGACTGAGCTCTGTGGCAGGTATTTATTTGCCGAACGGCAAACACCCAATGTTTACTGCTTTTTGCTGTCAGACCGGATGGGGCCAACTGCGAAGATGCCAGAACGCCAACAGAAATACTATTCGGGACTTCAAGAAGAGCAGCGATGGCTTTCGTCATCCCAGTCTCCCATTTAGGTTGACCTCCTCCTCTCCCATCCCTGTCTTCTGCTCGATCTTGGTCTATAGCAGCAAATTGAGGTGAAGGACCCAAATTTTGCTAATTGGCAAATTTTTGCGAGGAAAACCATCTGGTGAGCCAGGGTCCTGGCTGAGAGACTGAGTGGAGCAGCATCTGAGGGTTTTTTGTGCTGAAGCGGGGGTTCACTCCTCAGCTCAGAACTCGTTAAAGCAACGAGCATACCACACACAGAACTCGGCTCAGTGTGCGTCCCTGAAATCAAGTTCAGGGTTCAAAGTTCAACCACAAGCAAAGCAAAATGAGAAGTGCTAAAAACAAATCCTTGAAATCAAGCTCAGGGTTCAAACCACAAGCAAAACAAAGAGATAAGTGCAAAAAACAAATCCTTGAAATCAAGTTCAGGGTTCAAACCACAAGCAAAACAAAGAGACAAGTGCTAAAAACAAATCCTTGACATCGAGTTCAGGGTTCAAACCCCAAGCTAAGCAAAGAGATAAGTGCTAAAACCAAATCCTTGAAATCAAGTTCAGGGTTCAAACCCCAATCAAGCGAAGAGATAAGTGCTAAAGACAGCGCCGATCCGGTTAGCGCGTTTGTAGAGCGCTACAGCCGGTCCACCGCCGCAGCAGCCTGTGTTGACTGTGACGCCGACTGCCATCCCCGCGCCTGAGCTCGCCATCGCCTCCGCGCTCGCCTCCATGCTTCCCCACCTGCCCGCCATCGTCGTCCGCTTTGCACTTGCACGAAGGCCGACCCCCTAGTCGACCTAGCGCTGACCGTGACGCTGACTGCCATCCCCGCGCCTGAGCCTACACGCTTCCCCGCCTGCCCGTCATTGTCGTCCCCTTCGCACATCAGTCGTGCCCGTGCGAAGGCCGACCGCCATTGTTGGCCAGCACCGCCCGCCGTCATTGTGCCCGCCCATCTCCCGCCACCAATGCCTGCTCGCACCCCCTCCAGGTCCGCGCGACTGTCGAAGCACCAGAGTCCACCCATTGCCTACTTGAAATTCGGAGGCCTGCAGGTAGTGGCGGTTTACGGGGGGGGGGAAACAAAAAAACAATAGTATGCCACCTGTAAAATGGGCAAACTGTTGTCGATCATGTCACTAGACCCACTACAGTTCCTTTCTTCCCCAGTGGTAAGAGAACGGCGAGAGGTCTTATTAACGTGTGAGGGTTTACCCCTCGGCATAAGGCCCTGCAGCAGGCGCGTGCCCGCCCTATGTGAAGGAGGGGCCCCTGAGCCTCAATGTGCCCTGAACTCGTCATTTTTCGCAAATCTTGGCGGGCGCCAGACAGTTGCCGCGAGCCAGTTGGTTGCATCCGCTTTGCTCATGAGAATCGGAAATATGTGTGAGCCTTCCAGGCTCTTCCAGCAAGTGCTCGAAACAGGTAGCACTGCACGTTTCTGCCTGGGTGGTTGGGCATGCCTAACCAATTCGGTCCCAGGCCACTATCTGAACGGGTCTGGCTGCAGACACTTTGGCCGAGATTGAAGCTACTGGAAACTCGGTCTCATGGGGCAAGCAAAAGGGAATATGCTCGCCACTTTCCATATAGGAAAGGGCTGGGCTCCCGCAGGCTCATTCGGGCACTGGCTTGTGCAAGCAGCAGCGCTGCTGAAGCGTGCACTCACGGGCTGCTTGCTGTGCGCTAGCAGATGCCGGGTGTGCATGGGCGTCGAGAGGTGACAGGGCGCTGCTGAGGGCAACGCCATAGCCCAGCCTTCAAGTTCATAGTCAGGCTGGGACTTGGACATCAGTGGAGGTGGTGGTGGTCTTCGTGTACGAGAGATAAGACGTGGGTGAGAGAGAGAGAGAGAGAGAGAGAGAGAGAGAGAGAGAGAGAGAGAGAGAGAGAGAGAGATGCGGTTGATGATGTGAGGGCACGTGCCTGGTCTTGGGGATGGTCTACACGGTCGACATCTTCATGTACTTTGGTTGTTGCTGCTGATGTCAACAAGATGCATTGTCAACTCATAGGCTGCTAGTAGCTGTGTGATAGTAGTCTGGGCGCTGAGCGCCAAGTAGGAGGAAGGGCTCTGGATACATATGTTGGTGGTCGCGAGCGTATGCTCTTGTTGACATTTGGATTCGGTGCTTTGGTTCTCCGTTGGTGGAATATCAGTGCATGTCTGCTTTCTGGACAGCGTTGGACTTTCTGGCTTTCAATGTGATTTTGAATTCTGGATTTCTGTCATTTTGCTATCGCTCATTTTCCTTGCAAATGGTTACAACTTAAAAAAAAAAAAAAACCAGCTCCTTATAGATGTTACTTACGTAAGGAAATGGATTCTAAGTTGAATAGTTTGAAGGCCACAGTCTAGATTAAAAAAGAAAAGAAAAAAAGAACAGCTTCTTATAGGTGTTACGTACGTAAGGAAATGGATTCTAACTTGAATAGTTTGAACTTTGAAGGCCATTCTAGACTTCGTTGCCGACTTCGCTACAGGCATATATATTATATAGCGATGCGTTTTTGACTCTTTTGGACACTGGTTGCTGACCTCGTTGTTGTCTTCGTTTGTGGGACTTTTTTGCAGGATGCTGCCAAAGTTGCTCAAGATTTCATTAGTAGAGCAGCTGGGAGTGTGAATTTCAATGTCATTGCACTTTGCAAGAACACCGGTTAGTTTTGAATCATTTGATAAAAGCAGTGACCAATCCTAGAGCAACTATTATTCTGAGCAGAATTGTCTTATTGGTTTGCCAAAGAGGGGGTTTGAGTTATGGAAGCCGGCCTTTCATTCTCAGCGCCACTGCTTTTTCGCAGAGCTGTTCAGCGCTTTTTCAGAGCTGTTCTGGAAGGCCTTTCCTTAAGTGCGTTGAGGGGCTTGTGGTGCTTTTTTGAGTGCTTTTGTTTTTTTTAGTGTTTTTCTGCAGTGCTGTTTCCTGAGTGCATAGAATGCCTTGTGGTGCTTTTGAGTGCTTTTCTGGAGTGGATTTCAGCTGCGTGTTTGTGTTGTTTGTCAGTGGCTTCCAGTAGTGTTTCCCAGAGGTTTTTAATTTTCCTTGTTCTCTTCGGAATCTTTGATGAAAGCCGGCACAATTGTCGCAATGTGAACCGCAGTGTTCTTCTTTTGCTTGTCAAAATTTTGTGTCCTTTCAAAAAACAAAGAGCTATTATACGGTGAGCCCACAGTTGGCCTCCCCCCCCTTGTCCTCTGTGTGACCTCCGCACTGTTCTAGCAAAGTTCTTCGCTTTTTCAGGGAATGTTCAGACTATGAACAGCTGACTCACCTGAGCATATGTAGCCAACCCTTTTCTAATGGTTGATTGCAGGCATTTGCCAGGAGGAAGTGTAGATGGGCAAAGTGGGTATGCAATGTTGGTGGGGCTCTTTTCCATGTCTGTGGCCAATTTTCAATGTTTTTTTGCATGGAGCCACCCCCGGTATCTCCAAGGGAAATAGTGGGGGTCTCATTTCAAAGTCCGCAATCGATTTGAATTTTGAAGGCTTTTCACAGAGTTGTCCCATTGTGAAATTGGGATCGCCATGTTGTTGTCCTGGTGGAGTAAGGAGTCCATGTGCAGCTATTAGAAACTTAAACCACCTTCTTCTTCAAGTTCTTCTTATTATTATTATTAATCGGGATCGTCATGTTGTTGAGGAGACGAGGAGGAGACGAGGAGGAGAAGAGGAGGAGAAGGTTGCAACACGCCCACGTGCGTACCCCCCCCC